TCCTGAGGAATCGAATGGAATAGGATTTAAGGCTCTATCTCTCATAGTTTCCGAGATAATCGCGAAAAACGAAAATGCCTAAAAAAATTAATTTAATTCATCTTGTATAGGGCGTGGGAAGGGGAAAAACGCAATTCTGAGCCGTCCATCTGCCTATACGGAACCCGAATTTCCTGAGGAATCGAATGGAATAGGATTTAAGGCTCTATCTCTCATAGTTTCCGAGATAATCGCGAAAAACGAAAATGCCTAAAAAAATTAATTTAATTCATCTTGTATAGGGCGTGGGAAGGGGAAAAACGCAATTCTGAGCCGTCCATCTGCCTATACGGAACCCGAATTTCCTGAGGAATCGAATGGAATAGGATTTAAGGCTCTATCTCTCATAGTTTCCGAGATAATCGCGAAAAACGAAAATGCCTAAAAAAATTAATTTAATTCATCTTGTATAGGGCGTGGGAAGGGGAAAAACGCAATTCTGAGCCGTCCATCTGCCTATACGGAACCCGAATTTCCTGAGGAATCGAATGGAATAGGATTTAAGGCTCTATCTCTCATAGTTTCCGAGATAATCGCGAAAAACGAAAATGCCTAAAAAAATTAATTTAATTCATCTTGTATAGGGCGTGGGAAGGGGAAAAACGCAATTCTGAGCCGTCCATCTGCCTATACGGAACCCGAATTTCCTGAGGAATCGAATGGAATAGGATTTAAGGCTCTATCTCTCATAGTTTCCGAGATAATCGCGAAAAACGAAAATGCCTAAAAAAATTAATTTAATTCATCTTGTATAGGGCGTGGGAAGGGGAAAAACGCAATTCTGAGCCGTACATCTGCCTATACAGAACCCAAATTTCCTCAGGAATCGAATGGAATTGGTTTCAAGGCTCTAACTCTCATAGTTTCCAAGATAATCGCGAAAAACGAAAGTGCCAAAAAAAATTACTTCAATTCATCTTGTATACGGTCTAGGAAGTGGAAAAACGCAATTCTGAGCCGTCCATCTGCCTATACGGGACCCAAATTTCCTCAGGAATCGAATGGAATAGGTTTCAAGGCTCTATCTCTCATAGTTTCCGAGATAATCGCGAAAAACGAAAGTGCCAAAAAAATTACTTCAATTCATCTTGTATACGGTCTAGGAAGTGGAAAAACGCAATTCTGAGCCGTCCATCTGCCTATACGGGACCCAAATTTCCTCAGGAATCGAATGGAATAGGTTTCAAGGCTCTATCTCTCATAGTTTCCGAGATAATCGCGAAAAACGAAAGTGCCAAAAAAAATTACTTCAATTCATCTTGTATACGGTCTAGGAAGTGGAAAAACGCAACCCTGAGCCGTCTATCTGCATATAGGGAACCCAAATTTCCTCAGGAATCGAATGGAATTGGTTTCAAGGCTCTATCTCTCATAGTTTCCGAGATAATCGCGAAAAACGAAAGTGCCAAAAAAATTAATTTAATTCATCTTGTATAAGGCCTATAATCTGCAATGTATAACTCGAAAAAACAGGCTCCGTTATCACAAAAAAATTCGGAGTGCTGGTTGCTGCTGGGCCAGTGTCCTTATAAAGCTACTTGACTCATGACGAAGGTCAAACGTGCATCTTCATTCTGAGGCAATGATTTTTAACCACTTTATCCGAATGAAAATAAATATTCTGTAGTCAAGCAGAAGCTCAAAGCCATAAATCTCCGATCATTATCCATCGGTAATTTTTTTAAATCATCATTACAACATACTGAATAACTGCACATCCAGTAATTCTCAATAATTTTTTCCAACAGAAATTCATTTACGTCTTCCCACACCAACGGTTCTGTTGAAATGCACTGAAGAATTTGTTAATTACAAAATTTCTGTGATTTGTTTTTAAATATTTGATTCTACTGAATTTTATTTCATCAGAATTCCACAATTTTTATTGGCGATTCTCCTGACCAAGATATAAAATAAGATCGATCTTTTTTGATGGTGAAAATTTCCGAAAGTTTCCAGTAATTTTCGATAAAAATGTGAAATTTGGATGAAAAAAGTGAATAATAAACTGAAATCAAAGCTTCATCGATTTCTGAATCGCGCTCAAAAGACAAGTTTGCAGTGTAAGAATTTATTTTTAGAAAGATGAAACACGTGGGAAATTTCTCGTCTTCATAAGAATGTTAATTTTGCACATAATTTTCCTCTATAGTATATAATTCATTGTTTACTTTGAGTTACTAAATGAAATGAGATTTGTTTTTAACTAATTGAGTCAGATTTTCAACCTGGTTGAGTGCAATTATTAATACTATTCTTATTATTCTTTTCTTTCAGACAACCGACTGTATTTTTTGCGGTTCTATCACTCCGCTCACCCCTTCGTTGCTTCACGAGCTGACATTCTCGTCCTAACTACGTGGCAATTACTTCAGGAGCTATATTTCCTATTCACATTTCGGTATTGAAATTGCCTTTTTTATTGACTCTGCATTCCGCAGGTTTGTCGTCTACATAAGCCACGTTCAGGTCGTTGTTACCGATTATTATTAATATATGATGAAAAATGAGAAATCTGCAAAAATCACCGTAAAAATCAATTCAGTACATATGACTATCGTAAGTATCGTTCAACTTTGACCGTATGGAATTAATACTAATATTTTCACCTATAATTAAATTCATTTGAGGCATTTAGAATTTTAGAAAATTTTGATATAAATCAAAACACCGATTATTGTTATCGCCTTCGGTTTCAAACTCGCTCAAAAGGACATCAAAACAAATTTTTTAATGATCTCATTGTTGCTCATCTGTTGGACGTCTATCAGACTCACCCTCAAAGGATTAGACATCGATTCACGGAGAAAATTATGTGGTGAATTTCAACAACCAAGATTCAGTACCAGTTCAGTTCAGTTTTAAGATTTATGAAATCTATGAAATTTATGAAATTATGTATTCTTTGTACACGATTTCATAAATTTCATAAATGTCCGTAGAAGGTGGGATGAGTCGTAGGGAATGTAAAAAATACATCCCACCTTCAACAACTAGTGCAATTTCAACAACTAGTTCAGATTCACCACCAGTTCAGTTTTCAGATTTATGAAATTGATGAAATCTATAAAATTGTGTATTCTTTGTATTCCTTACGACTCATCTCACCTTCTAGGTAAATTTATGAACTTTAGAAAATCTATGAAATCTATGAAATTTATGAAATTGTATATTCTTTGTACACGATTTCATAAATTTCATAAATGTCCGTAAAAGGTGGGATGAGTCGTAAGGAATACAAAGTATACATCCCACCTTCAACAACCAGTTCAATTTCACCAAACAAGTTATTGAAATTCAGCAAATAATTGTCTCCACGTTGGACAGAAACGTTCGATCTTCAGACGTCCGTTAGACTCGAGCCTAAACGACAGGACGTCAATTGGACTCGAGTCTAGACGGTAAAATGTCCCCCGGGACTGCTGGACGTCTAAGACTTCACTGTGGACTGTCAAACGTCAGAAGGACGCATCCTGGACCAATGAGACGTCAGTCCGACTAGAAATGAAGAATCCCCTGCTTCATCGGGCTATGTACTTTGCACAATTGCAACTGCTGAAGAATTTCGTTGTCAAAATAAATGATCCAGGCATGGGGGACACTGCACATTCTTTATTACCTTTGAGCAAGATATATTCATCGAGTGACTGTATCTTTTACTTTCACTGGCTTACGTTTTCGATTCCCTCCTCTCTCCCTCCCACTTTTATACGAGTTATAAAATTTCGCTCATGTCCACTACAATTTGGATCCCGGAGGCCCTCATGAGCGGCCAATCAGGATGATCTCGTGTCTCAACATCATCCATATGATTTTTTTAGAGGACATGATCTTTCGAAAAATTGAGATTAAGGGAATCTTTTACCTAATCATGTTAATGACTTCTAATCACGTAATTTCTCACATTTTGTTAAACTATCAACAGCCCCTCAATCTCTTTCACCAGTAATAGAATACAATTGTTCAATGAAATGATGAAATTCTTGAATGGCCACGAGTACATAACGGAACACTATTGATTGATTTATGGAGATAGAACTGAAGGTAAATACCAATGGTGATTTTATTATTTTCAAGAATCCGCCGGTGGTTGTGGTAGGTCACGAGTAAGTATTCTCAGTTTCCTTAAACAAGTAATTAATAATACTCATTGATAATGACTCATCAAAAATAGAGATTGTCTTCTTCGTGTCTTTAATGATTTCTACACTCTTATATTTCCATTTGGAGTTTACCTAAGTAATCAATCAAGTATTAAAACCGATAATTAGTCAATGAAACGCGAGGATGAATAACAAGAAGAATTTCTTTTGATAAAAAATTGGTAAATACTCGGCGAAATTGAGTGAAAAAAAAATCGTATGGAAAAATTCTGAAATTTTTATTTCAAATAATTATTTAAGTGTCAGAGCTCATCACTCGAGAGCTCTGAGACTTAATGAGAAGAATTTTGATAAAAAATTGGCAAATACTCGTTGAAATTGAGTGAAAAAAAATCGTACAGAAAAATTCTGAAATTTTTATTTCAAATAATTATTTAAGTGCCAGAGCTCATCACTCGGGAGCTCTGAGACATCAACGAGAATAATGAAGAATGTAAAAGAAAAAGGGTTGATCAATTGCGAGAAAAATGAATATTGAAAAAAATTTTGGAATAAGGAAAAATACGTGGAATTCTTTTCGACTTGGTGGAGCCCAATGACCCACAGCCTGAATTCTTTTTCTCCTTGTTCTGATCTGACGGAGGTAAAAATAACCGCAAGGATCAGCAGGACATCTGCTGGGGATTCAAACACGATGATTCCACTCGTAAATTCGTGAGGGACGACAAATACTGGATAATACAAAAGTATTAGTTTGTAAATGTTTGGTGAGCGTGGAGATCGTATATATTGAGAGAAGGGGAAACACGACACGCCACTCGAAAGTACACAGCCTCCGCGCTTGCAGTGGTGGTGTGCTTCAGTCTCTTTCTCCTTTTAATTCTTTTTTTAATATCAACTACCTCGACGCTGGAATTTTGTGCACGGCAGTTGTTGCTGACTTTTCGTTGATTGAGGTACATCGGGAGAAACATGAGGCTCTCATTCACCATGTAAGTACAATTTATTTATTACCACGGATTGCATTCGATCTAATGACATTTGGCTGAGTTCAATTGAATTGATTCTTCGATCGAGAATTTTTAAAAATTGAGAATAAGTCAATTCAATTATTTGATGTAAATTTAAAAAAAATGTTGAGAATGTGGAAGGCGGTTATTAATTCTAATCGATAGATCACTGAACTACTTTGATTAAATGCTGAAGATTAAGTAATTAATATCCTTGTAAGTACGAATAATCCTCGCGTGAATGCATTGAGAGTGAAAACATATGGTATATAGCAAATTGGAAAGTGGTTTTTAGTTAAAATCACGCGACGTGGGTCTGCCGGTTTCTGGGATATGTGTGTGAAGTCCTTGTGGACTTCAATTGCGATTGGAATCCTTGAAAAAAAATTGATACTGGTGAGTTTATCGGAGGCAATAATTTTGTTTGAGATGAAATGAGAATAGATTGGAAGTGAGGAGATATAGAGACGGAGAATAGAAGGAGAGACATTGTTCGCATTGGTCAATTTGCTGAATAAATCAAGAGTCGAGTGGTGAAGGATAATCTTGAGATATCTTGGAGGAGGACTTTTTTCCGGAGAGTTTCATTTACTGTTTATAATTTTAATCCGATCGAAACAACTTTACATCATTTTTCCATTATAATATATGAACAATTATTACAGATTTTTAAAAAATACAAATTCCGAATTTTTGACGATGTTAAATTCAGTAGCGAAGTGGTAAAATGGTGCAAGTCAATTTTGACTATTGACCAGTTTTCAATGAATATCTCGCAACCTAAGAGAGATAGCAAAATTCTTGTTATAACCTTTTTTGTGGAGCCGATTGAGAGCTACAACAAATGTAATTAGAAAATTTTGCTATCTCCCTTAGATTCGGAAATATTCCTCAAAAACTCAACTGGGAGATAAATCGACTAGAACCGTTTTACCACTTCGCTACTGAATTAATTTAATTAATTAATCGTCACGTTCGCAGAAATCATCGAAGGACCTTTTCGTAGATTTTCGAAAACGAATGAAAAAATTTTCCATCGGAAAAGTTCTCTCGACATTTTTTCCTCAAACCGCTACACTGAGAGACAAATCGGCATAATATGGCAAAAATAATTTCTTGAGTGGACAACATCGCATGCATATTCGATCAATTCATGGTAGGTTTCAGACAAGAAATCGGTGCTCTTCGGGCGAAAGGAGGATGATACAGAATGAATAAATGATATTTTTTTCTGGAAATTAGATAATATTCCTGAAGAGGCAAAGTGAGTTTGAGAGAAGGAAAAGATGTTATTGCTTTCCTTCAAACTCATTGCGATTGAGAGCAAGTGAGGGTTATATTTTAGAAATATCTGAAAGTTCTCCCCTGTGTAAATTCTGTATTCATTCAATATGAAAGTCTCTGATCCATGATTCACTGAATCGAAGCTTTTAGTATTTTTAGTAATTTTCTCATCTTTTGACACGAAATAAGCGATTTATTGAGGCAAGAAATTGTCACTTTATCGCCAAGTATTCGTGTTCACGTCATGAACATTTCACAGGATTCTTGCACAGTCTGACTCATTATGCGGAATTCTTATCCCAAGCGTTTTATCCTTAAAAGATGAGATATTTGACGCGAGAAATTAGTTTTGTGACATTATGTCGATATTTCTCTCAGTGTAATCGGCGCCTTCATCACACGAAGAAATCGAGATTCCCTTCTTCTCACATTTCTTCATCTAAAAATCCTTAATAAAATTCTTCTCACGTAGGAGACAATGGTGAAGGTACATACCGTTGTAATTCTACACTACGGCTAGAAAAAGTAGAAAAAAAGCATTATGTACCGTGATAATACCAATGAACGTGTCTTCCTGCACGACTAGCCAATAACGATTATAAAGTTAGTGAAGGAGTTATGCAAAACACTCTCCCGTTCAACTTGTAAGTGATGGAAAACCAGGAAATGATTATTAGTATGCAAGCTCGTTGAAAGCGTCCACATGTACGATACTGGATTGTTCCCAATAAATCTGTACGAACATTTGAATTTTTACCGTTAATGTCGTCTTGAAATTCCGGCAGAAAGAAAGAAAAATCAAATACGAACGCATTCTTTCGTTGAAGAATACATACAATGGGCCAATTATCGCTAGTGACATTGAGTGTGAATAGATAATTCTGAATTCACAAAGTTATTGAACTCCGAAGTCCTAAACCTCATTCCATGATTCACAATGGAGAAGGTTGGAATGACTTTTCCATGGAAATTTCTATTTGCGATTGAAAATATACTGAGAAAAAATTGCTTTTGCCAAGTATATTTACTCGCCACAAGTAAATGTATATAAATATTTGCATCAGACATGTTAACGCCAAGTAAATTTTTTTGTAGTTGGTAAATATACTTGGCAAAAGCAATTTTTTTTCTCAGTGTACAGATTGCGATTGTGATCTTTTGGTTCTGTAATTTTTTTCAGTTTCGATAATTGCGACATAACCTTTACTAAAGGTCCAATCGATATTTCATCATGAGATAAAAATTGGGGCGTTATACAAGAGTTAAAGCAGTGGTTTTCAGTGATTAAATTTTCCGATCGAATGACGTAAGGGAAATGTGAGAAAATTTGGGTCATCAGGATGGTTCAAATTCCATTATGCAATTTTTCTTTTTCATTTCCATTTCATTCATGGGAAATTAATTGCGTCATTTGAGAGCTGAGACGTGCGGGGAAGAGAAGATTGTTGAAAAATTTTAAATACAAATTGTTGGGCCGATGTCTCTGAAACTGAAAGATTTCGGGGAAAAGATCGGTAAATTCTGTTTCCTGCAGAATTTCGATGGAATTGTTTTCTTTACAAATATTAATAAATTGATAAAATGATTCGGGAAATGAACAGAAGGAAATGTTGGAACAACTTTTTCGCTGCTGGGATAAGATTTCTCAATAAGTTTTATGCTGGATTTCTCTGAACCTCGTGAGTATGAAAAAAATCGCGGAAATAATCGGCGGATCGATAAAGCAAATGCGAAAATTCTTAAGAAAGTTTTTATAAATATCTAAATGATTTTCGTCCTGCCGGTGAAATAGTCTGACAATAAATTACTTTGAACTCCTGGAATAGATAATAAAAGTGAGAAAAAAAATTTCGCGCTTGACATTGTAAACCTGACGCATTGATTATGAATAATTTATCCAGTGCGAGTCCTACGATTTATCCTGATTCATCCGCTGATTTCTTAATTCCCATAATTTTTCGAATCACTCCAAATGAATTGATCCATGTACCATTCCTGTAACTCTCATTTTTCACTTTCACTAGTGATGTTGCATGTTTCTAACAATCTCTCAACGTGATTCAGTGTCTTTGGGCGTTCAGTACAATCGAAATTCTCAAGTTTCAGTGAATGAAAATTCATTCAAATACATTACATAAAGTATGGAAGGATGAAGAGATTCCGGAGGACTGTGACATTTATGTAATTGGGAAGCAGAAAGTAAGAGTGATGGTGAATGGATTGAGGTTCGATTGATAAAGATTTTTAGTATCGAAATTATCATTTTATCAACTGTTAATTCACTCTGTAATGTTTAAAAGCATTTTGGGAGGTTTAATCGGCTCCTGTAACTACTTAGTTTTAACTTATGTTCAATTCCATATTTTTTATGAAATTTGGAAATGAAGTGAACTATGAACACGGAAAAAAACCTGAATTGAGTTTTCAAGTATACTTGACACTTCAGTGAAGCCTCAGAAAAATTTGAAAAAATTTGACATCTCATTCTGAAGTGTCTAGGAGGCCTATCAAAGAAAATATTAGTCAAAAATATCGTAAGCAGTCAGATTTTCAAATTTTCATTCCGAAACTCCGGGCCGTGTACAGTGTATAAGGCTAATTTTAAGAAAAACGCAGCAGCTTTGAGCTTGAAGATATAATAAACAGTAACATAAGAAATCTCACGGGACTTCTTCGAGTATGCGATCTAGATCACTCTTGATTCTCTTTCAGATGTTTCCTAGATCTTCCAAATTTATCATTATGTCGATTTATGCTGGTGCGGCGCAGCGCTTACGGTGCGACCAACGGCGTTGGCAACTTTTCCGCGACCAAATATCGACATAATATCACAAAACTAATCTCTTGCGTCAAATATCTCATCTCTTAAAGGATACAACGCTGAAAATCTTTCTTTCAAAATGGAATTAATCGCAGTAACTTACACATGTGATAAACTACCCAGAGAAAGTGAGTCTCTGCGACTATATACGTGAATGTCACAGGTCAAAAATCCACTTAGTGGTACAGGCGTGACAGGCGCAACGAGTGCATGAAAGAATTTTACATTAAAATGTGTTTTTTTTTGTCTTTATAAAAATGTTAACCACTTACTGAAGAAGCCCACAAAGTGTATAAATTCATGACTTTAATGATGCTGCAGACTACTGGGGCTGTGTTTAATGGCTGGCTGCAGGTCGGCTGAGGAGGATTACGAGTATGAGGATGAGCCAGCCCCTGCCCCAGTGACCCCGGCACCTTCTAAACCCGCTGGAAGACTTGGGGGTCTATTATCTCCACGTGCCAGGGCACCTGTAGGCAGAAAAGCTACTGTAAGAATCTGCAGAATGACAGTTGGTGATGGCAGGAAAAAATAGCAGAAGATCTTTTGTGGGGGAATTTAATCGTCGATGAAACGACCTTTCCAAGTTCTGGGATCAAATTTCTCAATTCAATATTTATTAAAGCATTGAGAAATTCTATGTGCAGTGCAATACTTTAATTTTTTTTAATTTTATGTGTAGTGCTTTACTGTGATACTAATTGTTCAATTAACTTGGTGTTGAGTAGTTCAGGGGGAATCATCAGAAGATCTTTTCGCAGATTATGAAATTTTCGATAAATTTTTATTTTCACCTAAATAATAATGTGATTAATGTGAAATTGGCCTTGATAAAGAGTGATGTTCAAGGGAATAATCGCAAGACATTGATAAATAGGGAAAACTGAGAATAAGAAACCAGTCACTTAATTTCAGGGGAGAAATCCCTAAAAGTCAGTACCGAAAACCTTTTATTTCAAGGGAAAAAAACTCTTCTTCTTAATTCTTGAAATGATTTGTATGGTTTCATTATTTAAACTTTTCATGTCTGAATTTGAATCTCGATATTGAACCGTTAGAAAACATTTTAAAAATCTGAAAAAAAGGTTTACCTTTGGAGGGAGATTAATGGAATAATTTAAAAATTGCAATTTCTACCATAAAAATAAGGTAACATGAAAAGATAAAAAGTAAGGTAGATGAAAAAATGATTTTTCCGAAAGTTTAAACAATTGCAATTATTTATTTATTATAAACAACGAATGTTTAAAAAATTATAATTCTGTGCAAAATGTAATTTGAATGATGCTGAATACTCATGATTTTCGAAAGAAACAAGATCGAGAATAATTGGGTCGTGTCCAGTGATATACTATGAATAACAACGGATTTATAAACAAGATTAGATGAATTTTGGAGCAGAAAAATTTGAGAAGCCAGATGTTCTTCATTCAAGAAGCGTTATTTCCTTAAAATAGAAACGGACGGCAATTCAAGTACAATTATACTTGATTCAAGTAAAAAATTACCTGGAAATTAGACAATTTTTATCTGATTTGGAAAAAATGTATTAAATTCAGGAGAAATTTTCAACTATTTCCGGAATGTTTTGCCGATTAAATTTTCGTACGACAGAGATTTGCTGGGAACTAAAGAATTTTTTGTCCTTGTGAGAGAATTTCATTAGCAACAAAAAAGCCTCATGACATTTCGTGCCAACATCGCCAATTCCTGAATAATCATCTAATTAATAAACATTTTATGTTTCCACTTCGGAATCACCATAAAATCCTCATAAAGTTAGAAAAATCGTTTGCATCGTTAGTTCGATTCATATAACTGACACGAGTAATTCGTGGAATTTTATTCGCAGCCGGCATCAACAACACCAAAGCCAGTTGAGCAACCGGTTGAAGAAGAGTTCGACGAGGGTGAAGAGGTAGTGGATGAAAATCAAGAGCCAGAAGAAACATCAACGACCACCACTGAAGCAACTAAAAAGCTCCGTGCTGGAGGAGTTAGGCCGTTCAGGTAAAAACATAATTGACATCAAGCGAGGCAAGTTGTAAAGAAGTGATAATTTTAATTTCCAACATCTCATTGGATATGAAATTATTTCGATGCTGAGTGAGTCTGAAAATTTCGAGAGATTTTTCTCATTGAAAAATTCTCGAGTTGGACAAAATGCCTCGTAACATTTTCTTTAATCACTCGATTACATTATTTTATTCCTACTTAGATCGAATGAGGATCTTCTAGCCGCTCTTAAACGACGAAGGGCTGAAGTGGGAACACATAAGAAAGAACATCCGACAACGCAGACATCTGCAGACTCTTCAACATCGAAGTCAAAGTAAGTATTCAATGGTTTTCGATTAAATGAAATTCGATTCGATTTGAAATTTTACTGAAAATTCCAGGCAGTTGCAAATTGTTGAACGGCAGGAAGACGAGAATTCTTATTAATTAAAAGTACAAGAATATAATTACTTGAATATCCCAGATTTCTATCAATTTTCACGCAATACTTGAAATGAAATTTACAGTTTCTATTTATTTTTTCGTCAAATTGTGAATTTCCAGTGACGAAATTCTTTGAAATTTCAGTGCCACTGTCACTGTATAAAAATGCTCAATAGAAGGGCCGGTAATTGTGGCGGAATTTATTTAAAAGTGTATCACAAGCAAAATCACATAAGAAACTCGAATTTCATACATATGTTTGTCAGCTGTTCGATGATTTAGCAATTAGTGACTTATATCATGAGACTTTTCTTCAGCTCTTAATGTGTCCTTTAACCAAAAATATTTATCATCTCCTTCTGAAACAATTATGTGAGTAATTCCACGAAAAAATACTACAAGATTTTTTCCTTGTTTTTCACAAGAAAAAATCTTACGCAATTTTTTATTAAACCTCCTCGCCCTCCTCGCCCCAGCTCGAAATTGAAGTTTCATTCACTGAATAATGCAAATTGATAATTTTCAGAGCCTCGGGGCGTAAGAATAACGAATCAACGACGAGAGCACCAGCTCGCGGTAGATTTGGTGGCAGCACAAGAGGAAAAAATACTGAAGAAGTTCAAGAAACTCAACACGAAGAAATCCAAGTGAAACCCAAGCCGTATCGCAGAGGTTGAAAAAAAATCACAATTAATTCCCAATAAATTTCAATTGCCTCTTCCAAATAATTCAATTGAGCTCAAACCCCTGAAACCAACTCAATCTATCTCATTGAGTCTTGCACAGAGGACTCTCCTTTATTCTTCCATTCCATAATTCGCACTCTACTCCCCTCGAGGCCTGCTTCTCCTCAAAATCCTCCCCCCACTCCTCATTTATCGTTTATCCTCCTCTGTGACGTCTTGCGCTGCGGAGTGCGCAGTGAGTCACAGACGGTTATGTTCTTCTCCTCCCACTGGCGCGATCATCCCCACTATTCCCAGCTTTCCCTTCTCTCATGCCGCCTGAACTGGCGGAGTGGGGGTCTCTCCTTTACTCGCATTTCACATGAAATCGCTTCAAGGACACACCTCGAGCTGTGGGAATTAAGAAGAGTCCACTGTACTTTGTCATTACCTAATTGTGACTTATTCCGCAGTTGAATTATTGTTCTCAATTGTACCGTTTTGTTTGAATTTTCTGTCCTCTCACTGATATCATGTGATAGATCCCTTTGAACATTCGGTTGATTTCATAAATTTCGGAGATGAATACTACTATCAATGTGATAGACGTTTCTAGTAATTTCGACGTCGTACGATGCAATTCTGACTCCCCAACACCAGATTCTCTTGTTTTTTAAATAGAGGACGTTATCATGTACATAAAATGATTAAATTACCGTCCATTCTTTTTTTAATATTAATGATAAATTTTTGTATAAATGTAAATTAGTGATAGTAAAAAAACAAATTAATTCCCACAAAAAAAATAAATAAATGAAAATGTCTTGGAATTTAATTTAAGTGAAGGATTTTTTTTTCATTCGGTACACAAATTTCAGATACCACTTCGCGAATATCCTCGGAAATAATAAGTCTATGAATTATTAATCGAAGTTAAGGGTGCAACACAGATAGTTCCGAAACTTCTTGGAGATTTTCCGAATTTTCTGAAAATTTCCAGGATTTTCTGCCGGAAACAGTAGAAATTTCCGGTCTATCCAGAATACTCTGGAAGATGGAATCGCTTTTCATCGTTACACGGAGAGAAATATTCAGTAAAAATTAAAAATGGTGATTATAATTATCTTAATTAATTTCGGAAATTTTGCAGAACTGTCACGGAATTTTTACAGAGCGTTCCGTAATTTTTATCTGAATCTCCTGTGAAAAATTACGATCCCGTCACTCAAATTGTCTGAGTCGATTCCGTAATCGGTGAGCGAATTGAGTTCCGTAATTTTTATCTGAATCTCCTGTGAAAAATTACGATCCCGTCACTCAAATTGTCTGAGTCGATTCCGTAATCGGTGAGCGAATTGAGTTCCGTAATTTTTACTGAACATTTCTCTCCGTGTATCCGGGAGATAATTTTCCCATCTCAATTTCCGCCAAGAGAATTACGAGGGAATTACGAGTAAACTTGAATAATTATCAAGTGAATTGTCAAAAATTAACAGTATGCGGTAAATTATCCTCTAAACATTCCGCGACCGGTCGAGTTCATCGAATATTTCCGTCAAGTTCTCCTGTATGTAAAAAATCGAGATCTTTCGCAATAAAATCCGCAAAACTTATCCCAATTTGATTATCTCCAAACAATTTTGCGCCTTTTTGTTCTCAGCCCACTACTTGTAGACATATCCTCACAATGATATGCAGGTAAAAAATTTTATGGACTCATCTGCCATTCTTCAGAGCTGTCACACCTCTCGGCTAATAAAAATCGAAATGTCGAAAGTCTCAATGACTTGATTTCAGAGCTGTAAAAGACTTCACAATTTCGTAACTCGATCGAACACGATTCGACCTATCCCATTGTCTGAACACCTGCAGATGTTCTCGGTAACAAAATGAATTCGTCGAATCCTGTTGCTCTTTGTAAAGCCTCGGCAGCCCGAAAAATGTAATTGAATTTATATCGAGGGTGACCTTTTACGGTTATTTTTCTTCATGACAGAAGGGGAATTTGTGAAAAGTGCATTCTCATCGTTGGAAGAAATTGTGAGTCCCACGAGTGTTGGAATCACGTTTGATATTGCCGGAGACAATGGAGAATAGTCAAGTGATGAAATGAGGAAGGTGGGCATCAGCCTCCACAATCAACTGGAATGTCAATATTAGAAAATAATTCAAATTGTCGATATCTAATTGAGAATATTATTCTATCAATCAAAAACTCACTGATTTGTGTGAATTATTTCGTGAATGTTAGTGAAAAATATCAGAAGACGATAAACAAAGTCGAATGTATTGACACAAGAATAAACAAATTTATATTGGAATTATAAAATTGGTGAGCAATTTCATTTATGAGATAAATTGCGAATTTCTCTTCTTGAAGTTTCATATTCAGTGTTGAAGGTCGCTCTCTAGGTAAACTCCGATAAAACAAGTGTATCAGCGAAAAACGTGAAAATGAAGTTTTCAAAGTCAACAACTCACAAAGAGTTCTCACAACATTTTTCTCATTTTTTTACTATTTAATTATCTGAAGGTTCTGGAGGAATGGGAATCTTTAGTGAAAAGAAATTCCCAAAATTGGTCCATAAAAAAAAGTGAGGAAGAATTTTTAGATTTCTTCCCTGAAAGTGAGAGGAGAGCCCGACGGCCTTGAGGGCAACTGCGTCCGAACATTTCACTTACGAGTCGTCTTGGGTCTCGGGTAACCCGAGGATGCCATGGCCATACGTAAAGAAAAAATAAGAGAAAAGGAAAGAAGAAAATAAGAGACATGAGCATTCCATGGACATTCGTTTCAGAACTGTTCCCATTCCTCGACTCAAGTTCAACTGAACAACGCCAAAATGGGTGTTGTCCACTCCCGGAAATTGTGAAAATTGTTCTCCATTTTAATTTAAATTTCCCCCTATTTTCCATGCTTACGTCTTTCATTCATACACAGGGATTTTGTAAATCTGATTATTGTATTTTCATTTCTCTATTATATTGAGACCGTACATTTTTATAAACTATAACATATGACAAATACGACATTGATGTGACTTTATACATTAGAAAATTGGAAATTGGCAGTGTCTATTCACTCGCTCCACGGTACCTTTGACCGTGGATATACGGGACGTTTTCCCATGGATTCAAGGTAATTTCATAACTTTTACTTCTCAAATTAAATCTAAACAATAAACTAGACACATCGAATCAATTGATAAGTGACATGGATATAGTAGACTAGTAAACAATTTTCTCGAATACGAATATCAGTATAGATTAACGCAAATGAAAGATGAAATGAATAGTTTTTTACATTTTATGTGAACATTTTCTTAACGATATTCATATTTGTCTAATGGGGTTCGAGTGCAGGAGTGGGCGCCGAAATATAGTGCAAATGATTTTAAGGGTGATCTCCCAACCAGGGGAGACTCCTACCAGAGTTGGCACAACTCTGGTTTTCAATCTAAGAAATGTCACTTCTAACTCCTTCGCTATTCGATCCTCCCATACGTATTTTGCTCCCGAAAAATCTTTGTTTTATGCGAAACAAGGGATAGTAGTCTTTCGTTTCGGCTATCTAATAATCACGGACAACAAATGAACCCTTAAATGAAACAATAATAATGATATGATAGCAATCTTGTAACTTAGAAATAAAATATTTGTTGATAAATTTTCCTCTATATGAGATATTTTCACCCTGAAGAGGCACCGTCTGGTGTGAATTATCCGCCTCTTGAGCCAAACATTTCATTGCTGTCGAAAGCAGAACAATTACTCATGTTTGAGACTTTCAAATTCGAACGAAACAAATTCTTTTTGGCAATTTTCAACTAGCGATTTTGTTCGCCCAAACAAGACTTGTTTGACAACGTGTTTGTTTTTCTCTCAGTATTGCATCCCTTTCCAGTTTATTTATTGGGAGATGCAGTCCTCCTTGACAACATTCCGTCAGACGTAACGGTATTCATCGTGTAACGTCCGATAACACGCGGGGCTAAACTACTTAATGCAAACGTACCATATTGCTGCGGTTGGTGTTAAATGCCAGTAGTTAAGGTCGTCTCAATTTCATTATATATCTACAGGAAAGATTTAAATTGCATCTTTGTGAATTACGTAATTAATTCATAGTTGATGTATCCGTCGCCATGTTTGAATGGAGAAGCGGCGCTGCGATGTTTCTCTGACCTTTTCCTAATGTCAAGCGTTCTAAGCAAGTTTTATTCATTTTCTGAGGCATTAAAAAGTGGAAATTAGTGGGAAAATGTCAGGAATCAGATCAATTGCTAATTTACGCGAAATCAACCATCGAATCTGACTTTACTTCCAAAATTCATAATTCCAGTAATTCATTCAGTAGCGAAGCGGTAAACCGAGTTAAGTCGATTTTGACTATTGGCCAGTTTTTGACGAATATCTCGGAATCTAAAAGAGATAGGAAAATTTTTGTCATGAACTTTTTATAGCCCTTAATTGGCTCTACAAAAAAGGTTATGAGAAAAATTTTGCTATCTCTCTTAGGTTCTGAGATATTCATCAAAAACTGATCAAAAGTCAAAATCGACTTAACCCGGTTTACCGCTTCACTACTGCATTGATTCATATTTATTATTTTTCCAGGGAATGGAATGAAGTTCTTCACTTGTTAGGGATGAAAACACGACGAGTACTTTGAAAAAAAAGGAAAAATCATATTAAAGTGATAGAATATCGTGAATGGAGTTATCGCATTCTGGCGATTACGAAATTATGTCGAGAATGACTGGTGTCGAGACACACTGTTATAAAACCATCGATGGGCAATTTCCGCAGCTAGAAACAAGGTCTCTTTGATATATCCTGAAGTCCCTCGTTGGTCAGATCATTGCGTAATGAACCCATTTCTTATATTCGACTCATTATGTTTTGTCACTGGGGTACAGAAGTATTATAATACATTCCTCCACGATTCTGTTCTTCGATCAATTGCAATAATCAATTCAGTCGCGAAGTGGTAAGACGGTTTAAGTCGACTCATCTCCCAGTTAAGTTTTTGAGGAATATTTCCGAATCTAACGGAGATAGCGAACTTTTCGTAATTACATTTGTTGTAGCTCTGAATCGGCTCTACAAAAAAGGTTATAACAAAAATTTTGCTATCTCCCTTAGATTCCGAGATATTTAATGAATTCAATTTTTTTTCCCTAAAATTTGTAAATCTCTCAGTGATCTGAAAAAATTGAAATTTGTGTCAAAGTATTATCTGAATCGCACCAACCGAATGGAGACCTGAGAGTATAGCTGTTTTAAAACGTCCTTTCTCTGATAATAGAGACCTTCAATACTTCCTCTAATTGAATACAATAATTTATGCATTGATTGAAAATAATTGAAACCAATGGTTCACTACAATTATCAATGGAATGACAACTTACACATTAAAGTAACTTGGAGACCTGAATATGCGATCAATTTTTTTCTCAGACAAATTCTTCTCTTTGAATGTCAAGAAAAATGAAAGATTAGAACAGAAATATTGACATTCCAGTTTATCCAATAACTTGCGAAAGACGGAAACAATTATGGAAATCTAGAATGCACGGTCTGAATCCCAGTGCTTTCAGTCCTATTATCAATCCTATTATTTCAGTTAATGTTGCGGGAAACTACGGTTAATTCTCATCGCAATCATTTCATAATGAATTACACATTCCTACAAAATTTCGACCCTTCCGGGCATGGGGATGAGACTATCTAAAAATAATCTCTGTATTGAGTGACCTAAAAAATGGGAAAAATGAAGGGATATTT